TGCCAGCTATGGCTGGATCTCGTAGATGAAGGTTCCCACGAACGCGCGGGTGCGCTGGCGTGCCTCTCGGACGCGTGCAGGTCCGGGAACGCGCGCACTAGCAGGGCGCGGATGCGCTGGTAGGAGTAGTGCTCGTCGGGTAGGTTGCCCACGACGCGCTCACGCCGCTCGGCCGTCAGCCCGGCCTTGCGAAGCAGGAACCACCCCGCCACGTCGTCGAGCGCTTTGAGGTCCACCTCATTCTCGCGCAGCTGCTGTAGGCCGGCCTCGAAGCGTACGAGCCAGTCCGTCATGCGTTCTCCACGCCTGCGGTGATGCTGCGTGGACTCGAAAAACTTCTCGAGCGTCTCGCCCTTTTGCACTGGTTTCTGCTGGCCGAGGTGCTTCTCGAGGTGGTCGAGCACATTGCTGATGCCTCGAAGGTTGCGATCGCGCTTCCGTTCGGTCGGGTCCTCGATATCGTCGTCGGGGATCGGGTGGAGCTGCTCCTCTGGCATTTTGAGCGCCGCCGAGCGGGCGGTACCAGAAAGGCGGAGCACCGGCTTCGACGCGAGGCAGTGCGAAACCTCCAGGTTCTCGCTGAGCTTCCAGAGCTTCACCTCCTGCTTGAAGTCTCGCCACTTAGCTGGGTCGCCGTTCCAGGTCGGAATGACCTGATTCATACTGCTGAAGTTGTTGTGGTGGTCAGCCATCGTGATCACCGCGTAGCTGTAGATGTCGAAAGGGGCGTCGCTGACGTCCTCTAAGTTGAACTTGGCGTCGCTGGCGCTAGCGGCCTTGTGGAGCTTGTAGTAGCTGGCGTCGCAGACGCTGGCAGCCTTGTAGAAGTTGTAATAGCTGGCGTAACAGACGCTGGCAGCCTTGTAGAAGTTGGAGTAGCTGGCGTCGCAGACGCTGGCAGCCTTGTAGAAGTTGTAGTAGCTGGCGTCGCAGACGCTGGCAGCCTTGTAGAAGTTGTAATAGCTGGCGTCGCAGACGCTGGCAGCCTTGTAGAAGTTGGAGTAGCTGGCGTCGCAGACGCTGGCAGCCTTGTAGAAGTTGTAGTAGCTGGCGTCGCAGACGCTGGCAGCCTTGTAGAAGTTGTAGTAGCTGGCGTCACAGACGCTTGCAGCCTTGTAGAAGTTGTAGTAGTTGGCGTCGCAGACGCTGGCAGCCTTGTAGAAGTTGGAGTAGCGCAGGGCGTTGGACTGGGCGTCGCTGACGTCCACAAAGAGCAGCAGCAGCTGCAGGAAGGCGCTGGCCTTCGATTCCGTGATCACTTGCCTGGACGGCGTCGTCTTGGCAGAGTCTTCGGCGCGCAGCGCCGGCAGGGCAATCGCTCCAAGCCTACCACTGTGATATGGAAGATAATCGCTGGATATCTTTGACTCGCGCGGCGAGGGGCGTAGCTCTAAGGCCAAGGGCCCTAGTTCGAAATAAAAATGGCAGCGGCGAGCAAGGAATGAAATCACAGGCCCCTCGAGGTTTCTGGGGGGAACCCTCTCGGGCCTCTTACATTCCTGGGGAGTGGGCTTGATTCACACTTTTGATGCCCTAACACGTCTAGAAGCCTCCAGAGGAGCAGGAGGCGGCAGAGGAATCAGCGGAGGACAAGGAAGAGAGGAAGGAGGAGGCCCGGGCGTGCTCAGGAGGGACGTGCTCTGGGGCAGCGAAAAAGGCCGTATTCGGAGGGAGAGCGTACGGATGGCGCGCTCATCGAAGTCGTGACTGAACGCAGGGTTGACCCCATCTTCTCCTTTTTCGAGATGCTGGTAAAGCCCGTTACCGGCCCCGCCTCCCCCCCTCCCCCCTCCATGTCACGCCGCGATTCGCGCTGGCGCCGTCTGGAACTTGCCTGTCCTTCGCATTCCCAGACGGCGCCGGCGCGAATTTGTGAAGTGGCCGTCCCTCTTCCCCCCCAGACACGCCAGTTATCGCCAGGGCATTCAATTTTAGCTGGAGCTCAGTCTCCCCGAACAGCGCTTTTTGAGCCAAGGTGGCTCCCAGGAGTGCCCGCGCGTCCTCCTGCTCCTGATCCGCCTGCGCCTTCGGCGTCGTCGTCGTCAATGTTTTCGTCATCGTCGTCGCCCTCACCCTCCGCATCCACGTCATTATTACAATCGCCCTCGCCCTTCCCCTTCCACTACACCTCCTCCTCCTCCTCCTCCTCTTCCTCCTCCTACGCCTACTACTCCTCCTCCTCAACCTGATCCTCCTGGTCTTCCTCCAACTCCTCCTCCTGCTCCTCCTGTTCCTCCTGTTCCTCCTGCTCCTCGTCCTCCTCCTCGTCCTCCTCGTCCTCTTACTCTTACTCCTCTTCCTCCTCCTCCTCTTCCTCCTCCTCCTTTCTCCTTCTCCTCCTCCTCCTTCTCCTTCTCCTCCTCCTCCTCCCCCTCTACCTCCTCATCTCACTCCTCCTCGTTCCCCTGCTAAAGCCAATCCTCCCCACCCTCCTAATGCTACTCCTGCTCCTCCTCCTCCTCCTCCTCCTCCTCCTCCTGCTCCTCCTCCTCCTCTGCATCCTCCACGTCTTAAACGCACTCATCCTTTATTGGTTACTCCCTTTGCTCCTCCTCCTCCTGCTCGCCCTGCTCCTCCTTGTGTTGCTTGTACTCCTCAAGCCCCTTGTCCTCCTCTGATTCGCAGTGCGGTTCCTCCTCCTCCTCCTCTTCCTCCTCCTCCTCCTCCTCGCATTCCTCCTCCTCCACCACCTGCTCCTCCTCTCAGCCCTTTTCCTCCTCCTCCTCCTCCTCGTTCTCCTCCTCATCCTCCATCTCCATCTCTGTATCCTCCTCCTCCTCCTCCTCCTCTTCCTCCTCCTCCTTCTCCGACTCCTTGTCCTCCTCCTCCTTCTCCTCCTCCTCCTCCTCCTCCTCCTCCGCCTCCGCGTTCCTCCTCTTCTCTGCTTCCTCCGCCATGCCAGGGCTGCCTTCGCACTTTCGATGCCGCTCCAAGGAGCCACCCACCCTCGCCAGGAATACCGTCAAACAGGTAGTTCGGGCCTGGTCCCGCCTCCCTCCTCCACTCTGTATGTTGCCTCCTCTTTCGCCTCCCCCCTCCTGTCTCCCCCCTGCTCACCGCACTCTCACTCGAGGCATCCCCACGATTTGCTCAAGCACGGCTCCCCCCTGAGAGGCCCTTGCGATTCACCTCGGAATCGTGCTCGCGCCTCGGCGCCGGCTACCTCCCCCGTCGGGCCAGGAGCACCCAGACCCCTTTTCGGAGCCCAGAATGTATAGGATGTCTTAGGCGAAACGGGCCAGACCGCCAGACCACCTCTGGCGCGGCATCTCGGAGCCCAGAATGGGGAAGATGCTTACGTAAAACGAAACGGGCCAAACCACATCGCGCACATCTTCTGAGAGCCCAGGCGAAACAGGCTGATTTTGCGCGCAGCATCTCGGAACCTCGAGTTGCGAGAATGTCACAGTCTCAAACGAAACGGGCTGGACCACATCGCGCGGCGACATCTGGGAGCTCAGAGTTGCGAGGATGTCTCAGGCGGCGCCCAGTCACCTCCCAGAGCACAATTCGACGACAGAAGTGTAACCGAATAATTCGTTCAGGTCTGACCCCTCCTCGCTCCTCCCTCCTCCCTCCTGGAGCCCAGAGTTTCGAGGAGATCTCAAGCGAAACGGGCCAAACTGCCTCGCGCACATTCTCTCCGAGCTCAGATTTGCAAGGATGTCACTTGCGCACATGTTCTCAGAGCCTCGAGCGTTGCGGATGTCTCAATCGAAGTGGGCTAAAGACTCGCGCTGAGGCGTGGTGGGCCAGAACCAGCGGAGCGACACGCTATCCAACAGCGCTCGACCTGATGTCTGTCCGCCCCGACTGCGGTCGCACCGAGTTTCATGCTGGGGAGACGTCGACTCAGCACCTCGCCGAACCTGGCCGGGTCGAGCCTTGGCCACGGCATCGGCGCCTGCGCGCCAGAGTGGCCGAGGGCCGATCCCAGAAATCCGCGCGGAGCACCAGATCCTTACTTGCATGCCGACGTCTCCTCTTCGAAAGCTGTCACTGCGCAGTTGCTTACCCTGCCTGCCCTACACAACACACATACACACACACACGCACATACACACATACAATCACAATGGCACACACACACACACACGCACACACACGCATACGCAAGCGCATTCCTCGCTTCTAATTCCGGTAGTTCGCAATTCCGGCCACGAATTAGAAACGAGAGGTGTCGACTGGATGGGGTCGGTAGCGTTGTGCCCACGAATGAAAAATGAGCGCTCTGTAGATCATGTCGAAGGGCTTCTGGATTCGAGCCTCGGCGGCTTGAGCCAAGATTGGTGGTTGTGGTAAACTTGTCGTCCCCATTCTCAGACCTGCGACGTTGTGATTTTCCCACGACGTGGCTCCCCCGAGGTTGGGACCTTCTCCCCCGGGACCGGCTTCTCATCTCCAATTGTTGTCCTGGTGAAGGCCCCGGAGCCCACTCAGGGCCCCCGAGGCCCTAAAAATGCCAATAACCATCTGTTGCGATGTCTGTTCGCAATAAACAATTTGGATCGTCCCGCCCCCATTCCGACCGTACCGAGTTCGCCGTGGTAAACGCGCGGTTCAGACGCCAATGTTCGCCTGAAGTGCTGATTCATTACTGACGGTAGCATCAAACTGCTGAAGGAGGCCCCAGGGGGCCACGATGCGGCCACCGAAGACCCCGGGCGGCCCCCATGAACGCCCGACAGGCCCCCGATCGCAAAATCCCGCGCTGCTGGGCAGGCCTGGGTACCCACGTTCTGATCGGAGAGGGATGGGCGACTGGGGGTCTCCAGAGATCTGAAGTCGCAAGAAACGCAACATGGCGACAAATTTTGACCTGAGCCTGAGACTTCACCGCTCTGCAGCATTTGTCCAGCTGGATCGATCTGTGGCTCGAACCCGCGGGCGAAAACGCTGGCCGCAAAAAACTGCAGCGCCCAGATCTCAAGGTCGATGCTTCCCCGACCGAACCAGTCGCCCCCATGTCGACGCCCCTGACCCCCTCCTACCCGCAGAGCCTTCGTTGGCTCCTCTGGCGGCAGGGGCGGGAAGCGGTGCGCCCGCCAGTTGTCCTTCTCCTGGGGGGGAGCAGGGCAGCGCAACTCGGGCGCGGCATATAACCGATCCCTTGCGTGAGACGAGCCCCTTCTGTGACGAATTCCTCACCCACGAGGCCCCCCGCTGCGAGGCTGGGATCTACCCATCTCCACCGCCTGGGAAACCGACGTGCTGGGACCCTAGGGGGCGGCGGATGTGGGTACATTTTGGCCCCAGGGGCCCGAATATATCCAAACGTAGGACCCCGCAAATGCGGATAAGAATGAAAGGGGCGGGCGCGGGGTGGGTCCCGGGTGCGTCGCGAGTGGGTCGCTGGTGGGCCGCGGAGTGGATCGCGGGTGGGTCGCGTGTGGGTCCTGGGTGGGCCCCAAGTGGGTAGAGGGTGGGTCGCGGCAGGTCGCGGGTGGGTCGCGGCAGGTCGCGGGTGGGTCGCGGGTGGGTCGCAGGCCGGGTCGCGGGTGGGTCGCAGGCCGGGTCGCGGGTGGGAAGACGACAACAACAACCAGTCTAAGACTGCTCGCTCTGACCCGCTCGCGTGCCATCCAACGCGTATATCCCAAACCTTCGATGCCCGCCCTCTTCGTATTCTACCCCCCCTCGGGGTTCTATATCTGTCCTACCTGCCGCGCGCAGTTTGCGCAGCCCCTAAAGCAGGAGAGGGAAGGGAGGAGGGAAGTCACGAGGGAGTGGGAGAAGGGTGGAGCACGGGAGAGATTAGCAGGAGGTTCAATATTATGTTGTTCCCATCCTATTTAAAGACCACATCCCAGAAGTAATTTCGAGCGCCCGGAAAAGTGTCAAAAGAGTGTCGAAAAAGAATCGAAACAATGTCGGGCGAATGTCTCCCAAGGCCCGACACGTGAAAACCTTTGAGGTTCCGTGCTTTTTTTCGGCGCTCGAAATACTTTCTGGTGGTCAAGGCTAAAGCAGGTTGGAGCATCATAAGTTTAGGACCAGGAGTGCAAATGGCAGAACAAGACGAGCGCGTGGGGCGTGCGGATCGCATCGGGCGGGCGGGCCCAGACGGCCAGGTCGAGCGGGCGGGTCGCTGAAGCGTCAGTCCATCACGATGTTCCGAGCGATGGCGCGACTCCCAAGTAAATCGGTAGGAACTTGGGGGCACGGCGCCACAATAAATCGTGAGGAACTACAACGCGCAAGCACGATTCCTGCATACATTCGAACGCTGTCTCAAACAAACGCGCAACATTAAAATAACATGTGGGGGAATATCAAACGGGAGCCGTTGATGCTGTAACCCGGGGGCCATGGGGCTAGTTTGAGCACCCAACCTTTTTCCTATAAATATACATGTGCGAGCCCTGGGAGGAACACTTCAATTTACAAAGACACAAGGTGCACCAGGTAGGGGGGACCAGCGAATCTATGTTTAAACTGAGAAGGCAACCAACAACAACAACAATCACGGTAAGACTGTTGGCTCTCATCTCCTCGCGTGCAATTCAACACGTGTATCCCAAACTCTCGATATCCGCCCTCTTCGTGGCGCGTGAGCGCGATTCCCGTACACATTGTGAGGACGTCCCGCGCGAGACCGCGATGTAAGAATACATTGTGGGGAAGTATCAGTCGGGAGCCGTTGTTGTTGCTGTTGTTGCTGTTGTAGTTCGGGGGCCAACAACGCAGTTTGGTGACGCCTCGCTTTCCCTTGTAAAAAAGCAGGGTGCGAGCCCGGGGAGAAGCATTGTAGTTGACAAACAGTGCTAACGCGGCAGGGGGGATTACCAATAATTATTTTGGAGAAGTAAGGATGCAACAGCAGCAACAGCAACAACAACAAGGGGGAGAGAGAAGGATGTATCACGAAAGAAACTAGCAGGATGGGGGCAATGAGCAGGAAACAAGTAGTAGAACCAGACGGGCAGATCGAAGGGGCAGACAAGGCGGGCCCAGGCGACCAGGTCGAGCAGGCGTGTTGCTGAAGCGTGGGTCCTGCATGAACCGCGAGGATAAACAGGGGAAGAGAGGACGGATGGAAGGGGGAGAGAGAAGGATGTAGCACGAAATAAATTTGCAGGAGGATGGTTAGGAGCAACACCACAAGTGACATCACCAGTCTGGCGTGCCGGGCGTGCAGACCCTAACGGGTAGGTCGGGCGGGTGGGCACAGACTGCCAGGTCGAGCGGGCGTGTCGCTAAAGCGTCAACTCATCATTTTCGAGCGATGGCGCGATTCCAAAATCAATCGTTGAGACATCCAAAACGAAAATTGGTTTGTGAGTCTTGGGGGCACGACGCCGCAATAAATTGTGAGGAAACACCACGTGAGAACGCGATCCCTGGGTACAGCATGAGGAAGTCCCGCGCGAGAGCGCGGATCTGGAATACATTTTGAGAAACTATCTGGCGAGAGCCGCCGTTGTTATCAACTGGGGCCAGGGCGCAATTAGGTGACCACAGATTTCCCTGACAAAAAACAGGGTGCGAGCCCCGGGAGGAGCACTGTAATCGAACAGGATAGAATGGTCACCTGGGGGATAGCAATTCTCATCTATGAATGAGCATTCAACAGCAACAACAACAGCAACACTCAGTTTAAGACTGTTCGCGCTCACCTGCTTGCGTGCCATTCAACACGTATATCCCGAACCCTCGTTGCCCGCACTCCTGGTGGAGGATGGAGCACGAGACAGGAATAGCAGGAGGAAGTCTGAGAGCAGAAAACACGTGGCAGAACTAGGCGAACAAATCTGGCGTGTAGACCCTAACGGGCGGGTCGGGAAGGGTGGCCCAGGCGGCCAGCTCGAGCATGCGGGTTGCTGAAGCGTGAGCCCTGCGTGAATGTCAAAGCGAAATTCTTGAGTGTCGAAGGCGGGGCGTTTGGATACATTGCGAGGTCCCCCGCGAGACAGCGTTCCTGCATACATTGTGAAGAAATCCCGTGCGAGAGCGCGACGTTTGAACTAAACGGCGAAGAAATATCAACCGGGAACCGCTGTTGTTGTAAACCAGGGGGCCAACGGGCCAACAACACCATTTAGTGACACTTCATTCCCCCTCAGAAAAACAAGGGGCGAGCCCCGGGAAGAGCATTTCTATTGAAAAGCTACAATATGGTCACTGGAGTGGCAGATCAACAATGATGTGTCTATTCAACAACGGCATCAACAACAATCAGCTGCAGATTGCTCGCTCCTACCTGCCCCCGTGCCACGCAACACGAAAATCCCAAACCCTCGACACACACCCTCTCCGTCTTCGACTGTACCCCCCTGGGCGTGGATGCTCCTCACCTGCCGCGCGTAGTTGGTACGGCTCTGAAAACAAGGGAAGAGAGGACGGGTGGAAGGGGGAGGGCGAAAGGATGGAGCACCGGACTCGCAGGAGGGGGTCTAGAAGCTGAAAACACGTGGCAGAACCAGACGAGCTGATCAGGCGCATAGACCTCAACGGGCGGGTCGGGAAGGCGGGCCCACGCGGCCCATTCGGACATGCCTGTTGCTGAATCGTGAGTAACGCATGAATCGCGTGGGGGTAGAAAGCGATAGCGCGATTCCCACGTGAAGCGAACGAGAAACAAGAGCGAGAGCGCGATTCCTGAGCGTCGAGGGCGCGTCGTTCGAATAAACTTAGAGGAAGTCCCGCGCGAGAGCGCGACGTGTTCAATATGTGAGGAAGTATCAGGCGGGAGCCGTTGTTGTTGCAACTCGGGGGCCAGCGGCGCAATTTGGTGATCCCCCGCTTATCCTTGTAAAAAACAAATGCGATCCCCAGGATGCGCAGATTGATTGAAATTCGCCTGGCGAAGGACCCAACCACATGCAGTTGAGTGTACCGCAAATGTGGGTATCGGCTCTCGGTGGAGCTCCCTGTGGGCCACGAAACGCTGTACTAGGTAGGGGAGACGCAGATGGGCGGTGCCACTGGTGCCTCCAGTGGAGCTCCCTATGGGGCCGCGACGCGTTGTACTGGGTGGGGGAGACGCATGCGGACGGTGGCACTGGGGCCGTCGGTGGAGCTCCCTACGGGGGCCACGCAACTCTGTTTCGGGTGGGAAGACGCATGCAGAACGTGCCATTGGGGCCTTCGGTGGAGAACTCTCTCCAAAACCACGACACGCTGTACTGGGTGGGGGAGACGCATGCGGACGGTAGCACTGGGGCCGTCGGTGGAACTCCCTAGGGGGCCACGAAACGCTGATCTGGCAAGGAGTGACACGTACGGTCGGTAACACTGGGACCTTCGTTGGAACTCCCTAGGGGGCCACGAAGCGCTGTAATGTGTGGGGGGGAGCATGCGGGCAGTAGCACTGGGACCTTCGGTGGAGCTCCCTATGGGGCCACGGAGCTTTGTATATGGACGTTAGCAATCGGGCCTACGGTGGAATCCCTATGGGGCCACGAAGCGGCGTGTGAGGGGTGTGCCGGCATGGTAGACTGATGCGGAGAGCAGAAGCAGGGATGGGAGGACGGAGGGGGGCAGCGGGAGGAGGGAGGAACGCGGGGCGCTGCCTCTTCAAAACGAAGACCCAACACCAAATGGTGGTTAGGAACAGCACACTGGTCACCGGGCAGGGGGGATCAACAGCAAAAACTAACACAACATCAACACCACATCGTCATCATCACCAACAACAACTAACACAACAACAACCAGTTTATCTCTATTCGCTCTTACCTGCTCGCGTGACACTCAACATGTACACCCCGAACCCTCGGTACCCGCCCTCTTCGTGTGCGATCGTGCCCCCTAATGGGGATTCTCTTCCGTCCTTGCAACGCGTAGTCCGTACAGCCAATACGACAGGGGAAGCGAGGACGGATAGAAGGAATGAACAAGGGGGAGGGAGGAGTATGGAGCACGAAAGAGAGTAGCAGGAGGGGGCTAAGAGCAAAAAGCACGTGGCAAAACCAGACGGGCAGATCGGGCGGGTAAACCTTAACGGGCGAGTCGGGAAGGCGGACCCAAGCGGCCAATTCGAGCATGCGGGTTGCTGAATCGTGAGTACCGCATTAATCGCGAGGGAATCTCGAGCGATAGCGCGGTTACCAAGTAAATC